ATACATACATACATACATACATACATACATACATACATACATACATATATATATAACTTTTTATAAAAAAAATTCTTACACAGAATCAATCAAATTGTCCACAATGTCTCCATTATATGTGAGCATCAGTCTTTGTACAGCAGGGCTACTGCTTTATGCTCTCATAGCTGCAGTAACAGCAGTCTCTAGAGTGGCTGGTGTATATAAACTACAACCAAACAGTATATGATGCAGGTTGCATTTTCTCAATAAAGTGTGACATTCGCATTTTGTATTTACTGAACTGCCCTAATCTTTGCTCCTCCCTCTATGCTCTGTTATTCCATCTAAATTCTTGCACAGATGGATCAATCTGCATTGTTTTAACTCACTTTGTCTCTCATTCCTCCCCTTTATTCATCTTTTGGTTACAGTATCTCTCGTTTGCTCCTTTTTGCTCTTTCTGTCCTGGCCTCCTTACTGTCTCACTCTCGCTGAGGATTATGTCGGCGTCCAGTTTCAATCTGTTCTCAGAATTCTTCACTAGCCAGCTGCTGTGAGAGGACACACAAATGTTACGCAGAGTTCACAAGTGCATTTGTATCCATCTGAGTGAGCACCGTGGTTTTGAGGGAAAGGGTCTCTTTTGTGTCTGTATACAGTAAGATGACCGCATTCATTTTCTATTTATCCAGCTTATGTTCTTAGGACCCCATTTCTTAAGGTGTCTTTTTTTATACGTCCTTGGTATTGCATTCATTGTTGTCATTTAGCCTTTATAAAAATTGCTTAACATATACATACCAAAGGTACTGGTTTTCATGTCAGTGGACATACAGTGAGTACAATTATTAAATAAGTCGAACACATCGCAAATTTCCTAAATAATAATTTCTAAAAGTTTTATTCACATGAAATTTGCACCAGATGTAGGCAACAAAGGAACCACTACAGATCCACACACGCTAAGAAATCAAACCATAGACGTCCATGAATAATTTTATGTGTAATAATGGCAAATGACACAGGTAAAAAGGTCAAAAGGGGCTGCATAATACCCCACAAACACTATAGCAAGGGGACGTTTGGAGGTGGAACATTATGGTGTGGGGCTGCTTTTTAACACATTTCATATCATTTAGGCAAAACATGCAACTAGTTTCACCATATGAGGGGTGCTATACCCAACAAAGGCTTTTGTTGAAAATATTAAATAAAGTTCAGTAAGCGGGATCAATACCTTATTCCTCATTGTAACGCATTACATCATTTATGGTCATAAATGGCTTGATATCTTTGCATGTGTGAATTGAATGAATGTTGATGACGTCTAGTGTGCATTTCCTTTCAATGGCACCTTTAGAGATATTGACCTAAAAACACTTGATATGGTGTGTTCAATACCTATCTTACCCACTGTACATTACCACTACAGCCAATACAGAGCCAGACAATATGAGGTGCGTGTCTATGGATGGTTGAAAAAAACTGGAATACCAGCACAGGCAGTCACAATGAAAACGTAGGAGCTCCACTTAGGAGATTCAAGTACTAACTTGTTATGCTTACTGGCAACTCAGTCAAGCAATTACAATTCCTTGAATTTAATCCGTGTCCCTCAAACTTTGAATTTTTTCAATTTTTTATAAAAAATGCTGTCTATTTACCCACCAGGCCAATCAACAATGTAAAAGGGTGCCCGGCAACAGCAGCAGAGGTAAAGTGGTCTCATAGCTCCTCATTCAGTCAGCAGGACAGCAAGTTGAGCATTTCTGAGGTTGTAGAAAAGTGGCTATCCTTTTTAAAATGTCACTTTTATTTATTTCCACTGTTTTATAGTTGATATGTTTCTTATGTTACTGTTGCAGTGGAAGAAATGGGAGGACTTATTCTCATAGGTTTTTCATGCTTCTCACAACACATGTCTAGTAGATTAAAATCATAAAGACAATCTAACCATGGGTTACTCTATTTGGTTGGACCTGCACCAACTATTATACGGAATACATCCCCAGTCGGTTTATCAGTTTGAACACATCAGTTCCCATAAAACTTACTACAAGAATAAAGACAAACAAAAGACATTCTTAGAATATACTACTGACAGTCCACTAGGTGGCATTCCACCAGCATTTAGCTACCAGGAAGTAGGACAAACCCCAGTTGTGTGAGGTTGTGGATACATCTAGTGCTCTACCTGAGCTTTGTCAAAATCTAACACAGCACGTGGCCACATTGTCAAGCTCCCCGGAGGTTATGGCGAGGCCGCGTAGTGACGCCAGCACATCAAAGGAAAGCCACAGTTCAAAGCAGTCTGCAATTTCAGAGCAGTAAAAGCAAGAGAACAGAGGCAGAGAATAGAGCCACAGGTGGGCACTTTCTGTTTAGCCTGTCCTAGCCAAAACACGCATTTCTACTTCCTGCTGATGATAGATGATTGCTTGTCTTGCCCCTAGATTTTCTGTTGGCCTGTGACCTCCTGGACCATCATTTCAGTTTTAAGCGCTTGTTTTTACCAGCTTTCTCATGTTTTTCCAGCGTTGCCTTAATTCAGTTTTTATGTCTTTTTATTTCTCCTCCATCCATTGATCCTGCTCAGTATCCCAATCACACCCCGGCAACACTGTCCCACTCAGGAGTGCCACCCACTTTATTGTGCCAGGGCTGCCTAGGATGCCTGCAAGAGGAGAGAGAAACCAGAGACTGACAGGGAGGGGAAGGGGAGGGCTGTGCGTCTCCATGGCAACTGTGTTTTTGTTAGCGCTCGTGAGTCAGACAAGCAGTGAGTCACAGTCAGGAGGAAACACACACAGTCACATTCATACTCAAAGAGAAGCCAAATAAGGACAGCTACATGCATAGAGACAGGGAGTGAGAATGCAAAAAATAAAAAACACAGAGGGGAGCCAGCCAGATGATTAGTTCAAATCCAGAAGAAAATCAGGAAAAAACACAAACAAATGAAAAAGAAAAGAGCAAAAATAGAGCACTTGGAAAAGGGTGCGGGGACACTAAAAATGAGGGAAAGTCATGGAGCCAGTGGGCACAAGTGTGGGCACATACCTTCTCCCAGGATCACCCTTCACATGGGTGGGGGCAGAGGAAACACACACACAGACACACCCAGTTTGTGCACA